TGAAGTTTGGATTCAAACTTCAGTATTACAAGGCAGGAGTGCTAAACACTTAGCCTAGTGACGGCACTTCTCTCTAATATGCCTCTGTATTCTTAATTATATTTATGCCTGAGACTAAATCAGCTAAATAAATTCCAGGTGAATCAAAAGGTGAGCAAATTCTCACAGCTCATTTATGTCAGAAAGTAGCCTGAGTAGAGAGCCTTAGTAGAGAGCAGGGGCAGACTGACAACTCATGGCCCCCCCGGGCAATAGGGGATCATGGGGCCCCTGTGTCCTTGCCCAAACTCAAAAAAGCCTATGAAAAAGGTACCAGGGGCATCTCATGGGGCCCCCTACTGACCCCGGGCCCTCGGGCAGTGCACGAGTTTCCAAATGGGCAGTCCGCCCCTGGTAGAGAGTTTGTGCCAGCACGCTGTAAAGTACGCCCCTTGCTCTCTTCGTGGAAGCAGTGCTCTCTTATCTGTCGAGCTCAGACAAACCCTTCACTGAGTCAGAGCTAGGACAATCAGTAGGGTACATGAGTGTTGTTGATTGGAGAGCTATTGCTTTAACTCTGCAGGGAGCACTGCGGAAAGGGTCCAGGGGACAGGCTTTTAATTCATGAAGTTGCTGCTTTATTTAAAAAAAAAAAAAACTAAATAAAAATTCAATTATTATAAAATTTTATATATATATATATAGTCTTTTCATACATTTTGTATTAATATACCGCTTGTCTCCTAGATTGTAAGTTCTAATGAGCAGCTCCCTCTGTTTCCTCTTGTACCAAATTGTAGTGTAACTGTAATGTCTGCCTTCATTTTGTAAAGCGCTGCGCAAACTGTTGGTGCTATATAATCCTGTATAATAATAATAATAATACACTGCAATTCCCAGGCTTAGTGTGCAGTTCCACATGTGTTTACATGCATTCATAATGCATTTACTGTGCCTTTTTTGGCATTATACTTTTTTTTCTTTTTTTACCGAGTATCATTTTCATGCATTTGTTCATGAGCGTTCTGGTACGTTTACATGCATTTGTTCATGAGCGTTCTGGTACGTTTACATGCATTTGTTCATGAGCGTTCTGGTACGTTTACATGCATTTGTTCATAAGCGTTCTGGTACGTTTACATGCATTTGTTCATGAGCGTTCTGGTATGTTTACATGCATTTGTTCATGAGCGTTCTGGTACGTTTACATGCATTTGTTCATAAGCGTTCTGGTATGTTTACACGCATTTGCAGCAAGCTAAACAGGAAGACACTGCAATGGCGTAAACTAGGCTCACTGAAATACATACATTTTTTTGCATATGTACCTTTATTCCCTTCTCGCCTCCCCCCACCTCTTCTCGTCCCCCCTACTTTTTTTTTTTTTTTTTTAAACTCTTACTCATATCTTTTGGACATTGGGACAGGGTGGGGCTGTAAGATGGTCCTTCTCAGAGTGCACCGACCAATTTCTGTTAGGCTTCTTCTTTACTCACCCGCCATGTTTACCCCTAACAGTATAGGTAGCGTTCCATTTGCGGTGAATGTTAGACGTAGGATTATTTATTTATATACTGTCTTCTGTATGGTTGTGGGCAGGGGTGGACTGACCATTTGGAAACTCGGCACTGCCCGAGGGCCCGGGGTCAGTAGGGGGACCCATGAGATGCCCCTGGTACCTTTTTCATAGGCTTTTTTTGAGTTTGGGCAAGAACACAGGGGCCCCATGATCCCCTATTGCCCGGGGGCCCCATGAGTTGTCAGTCCGCCCCTGGTTGTGGGAATTGTGCTTTGACAGTCCCGGGTCGTTCATGAATGTTTGTTTGATTTGCTTATTATTATTTTATTCCCATGTGTTTATTTACCTTCCCCTCCTTTTACTGTACCTTTTTTCCCTTGTATCTTGTGTAAAACCTTTAATAAACTCAGTTTGAACATAAAAATGCATTCGACTGCATCTGGTGTAAAGGAGCCCTTACACTGAAAATTCAAAAATGTCTATTTTGATTAGAGCTTTGACACAATTCTTGTTTGAAAATCAGTATTGCAACAGAGTTAGTCCCGTGCTGGTTGTCTGGGCTGTGTGGATTTAAATTGAGCTCCAGTGTTTAGTAGAGGTGGTATGAGACCGACTCTCAGGCTGTTAAGCTGGCCATATTCATTCAGTGGGTGGCTGTCCAAATTCATTCAGTGGGTGGCCCTGTCATCACCCTCACACCTAGCATCCCTGGACTGAAAAATCAAAAGAACTGGGTGTAAAAATGCTGTCCAAATTAGACGCATATGGCATAATGGCATTTTGAAAGCCGGTAGGGTTGGCTGTCAAAATACAGTATCCACAGCAGGAGGTTTGTCCAATCGCACTGTATAGCATGGATGGAGGAATCTGGCAGTTTTTTTTAGTTCAGCCCGCAGGCTTCAGAGAAAAAAATGTATGCGTGTGCAGTCATTTGCCAAAGATTAAATATATGTTGGGGCTCTAAGGGAAAAAAAAAAAATCTTGTTGCCTACAGCAACCAATCCAAGTGTAATCTTACTAGTTTGATGTTGGACAAGGCCCTCTCGCTGATATCATGAACCAATGCCCTTCCAAGTATACGTGATAGTACAGGTGATGCATTCAAAAGCATCAAAAGGAAATGGGGCAGCACAGTGGCAAAATGGTTAGCATTTCTGCCTGGCAGTACTAGGGTCGTTGGTTCAAATCCCAACCACACCACCTCCTGCCTGGAGTTTGCATATTCTCCCTGTGCCTGCGTGGATTTCCTCTGGGTATTCCGGTTTCCTCTCACACTCCAAAGACATGCTGGCAGGTTAATTGGCTGTCTAAACTGGCCCTAGTATGTATGTTAGGAACCTTAGATTGTACGTTCCTTGAGGGTTAGGGACTGATGTGAATGTACAATATATATGTAAAGCGCTGTGTAAATTGACGGCGCTATACAAGGACCTGTAATAAATAAATTCCATGTGGCTCCAATTCTGGGTGCCCCCTTTGCTAAGCATGTAGACACCTCTTTTGCATTGCTTTTTATAAGTGTGAATGCATTTCATCTTGCTTCCAATAAAATAAACATCTTTTTGTTGATTGTTCGTGCCCTTTTGTTCACTCATCTATTTCACAAAACAACAGGGCAGCCTATAGATATGTTATATTATTTAGATTTTATGGTCAAGACTGTCAGTATTGTTATGTCTGGAAGAGAACTGTGATTTGTAAGTCTCTGATTATTAGCAATGCATAACACAGCAATTTTAGCTATTACTGGTACATACTCATCGTGCACAATGGTAGGTCCATCTCTCGTTAGAGCTTCTTCTTTAATGACGTTAATAAGTTCAAATGCGCTGCTTATGGGAGCGTCTGGGTTTGGCCATTTTGGACACTGGAAATGCCGCACTTCCAAAACATAATCATCCTACAGGAGAACAGAGATAAACATGTAAAAGAAATAAAAATGTGCAAAAAAAAATCTACATTTTATACCACAAGTGTTATAAGCAGAACTATACAGGTCAGGAGAGTCTTTTCCTACCAACTTTGATACAATTTTTATAGTCAACAGATCAGATCTGTTTATAACAAAAAAAACGATAGTAAAAAGGCACCTGTACCAGTATACCCCTTATGAACCACAACAATTTTAATATTTCAATTATGCGCCTATTGATTCAGGGGATGAACTGGAAACACTGCAATGTGTAAAATCTGTTGCAACTCTGCATAGAAACTACCGGTAATCTTACAGGTTTTATTGTCAAAGATTAACCCCCACCCTACCGGGCACTTATACCCCCTTCTTTACCAGGCCAATTTTCAGCTTTCAGTGCTGTCGCACTTTGATTGACAATTGCGCGGTCATGCAAGATTGTACCCATATGAAATTTTTATCATTTTGTTCTCACAAATAGAGCTTTCTTTTGGTGGTATTTAATCGCTGCTGGGCACTTTACTTTTTGCGCTATAAAACAAAAAAAAGTGCAAAAACTTTGAAAAAAAAAAAAGTTTCTTTGTTTCTAATATAAAATTTTTCAAACAGGTAATTTTTCTCCTTCACTGATGTGCGTTGATGAGGCAGCACTGATGGGCACTAATAGGCGGCACTGATAGGCAGCACGGATAGGCGGCACTGATAGGCAGCACTAATGAGGTGGCACGGATAGGCAGCATTAATAGGCAGCACTAATGAGGTGGAACGGATAGGCGGCACTGATAGGTGGCACTGACTGGCATCACTGCTGGGCACTGACTGGCACAACCACTGGGCACTGACTGGCAGCACTGCTGGGCTGCACTGATGGGTGGCACTGGTGGGCACAGGTGGGTGGCACTGGTGGGCACAGGTGGATGGCATTGCTGGGCACATGTGGGTGGCACTTCTGGGCACAGGTGTGTGGCACTGCTGGGTGGCACAGGTGGGTGCACTGCTGGGCACCGATCATCAGGGCACTGATCATCAGTGCCCTGATGATCGGTGCCAATCCCTGCTCTGACAACTGCCAGTTCTCGGCAGTACTTTCCTCACGCTCTGACAGCATGAGGAAAGTGCAGCTGAGAAGCAGCAATTGCATTTCCCAGTGATCAGCGTGTCATTGGACACAGCTGATCACGTGGTAAAAGGCCGTTGTGATTTACCACATCACGTGATCAGCTGTGTCCGTAGGAGATTGCCGGGGGCGCGCAGGAGAGCGCGTTCTGGAAGGACGTCATAGGACGCCCTCTCAGAACTGGCCGGCCGCAGTGTAGCCGTCATTCGGCTATCTGCGGTTGGCAAGTAGTTAATAACCACTTCAGATCCGGACACTTTCACCCCCTTCCTGTCCAGGCCAATTTTCAGCTTTCAGTGCTATCACACTTTGAATGACAATTGTGCGGTCATACAACACTGTACCCATATGAAATTTTAAGCATTTCTTTGAGACAGATAAAACTTTATTTTGGTGGTATTTATTCACCACTGGGATTTTTATTTTTTTGCTATATAAATGAAAAATTCCAAACATTTTGAAAAAAAAGTGACACAGCGGGCACCGGATCGCGGTGCCACGTGCTCCCAGGGAGTGCGCACAGGCAGTGAACGTGGAGGCTGTTTATAAACGGCCACCCGCTCCTGCACTGCTCCCGTCTGGCCGTTTATGTACATGGGCCGGATGGAAAGTAGTTAAACAAGCTAGAAGCCGCTTGCATACCATGCATAGCTGCACCATATTCTGAGTGCTCCATTCTTTGTTTGCTTATGTTTAGAGTCGCATATTTGGACATGATTCAGCCTTTACAGGCAATATATGGCTGGAGTCAAAGACTCAGAATTTCAGTGCTAATGACGTTATATCTGTCCTTGGAGTCTATTAAATTCTAAGATCTTGATATTTGAGGTAAGGCCTTCATAAATGGAGGTAGTTTTATATTGTCATTAGGATGTTTTTGATATATATAGAGAAGATCATATTAGTCTTTTCCATTTGTTATTCAGTGGTCCATTGAAAGTGTTTCTAAGATCGTGGCGTTCCATGATTAAGTCCCTCCCCATGGGCCCGGCAGGGGTTTGTCATTGGACACACATTGTCGCACATGTGAACATAAGGTAATAAACATGTATATATACACATTATTTCTTCTCTCCCTTTTTTTTTTTTTTTTTTCCCTCCATCTTTTTCTGGGACCTTTCTGATTTTGCCTCACACTTCAGAGTGGGTATTTACTAATTGGGGTTAATTATATTAACTGTGTATGTCATAAAATTGTTGTATATGATTTCTCATAATGCCGTGATTGTTACATGATGTCATTAACTATATATATTTTGTTCTAGTTTGTGTAGAACAAGATCCAAGGCCCCGAGGAAGCATTTTTTCCACAAAATGCGTCAGCCAGTTAAGATTAGGATCTTATGAACAGATATTTGGTTACACTTCAAGCAACATTATTTATTTTAGAAGTCTTTTAAATGTTTATTTGAGATATATGTATATAGTAACAATAAAATACTGTTTTTATACATTGATATTCTCTTTTGTATTATACCTCAGGGGGTACATTTATAGTCCCAGTTATAATTGTACTTAAATTTATAGGGTATTTAGACCAGAGGAATATTAAAACACAGTGTTCATCAACAGCTGCTATGGGCAGTCCAAACCAGCGGCTGATGGACACTGCGCTTGAATATATCATTTGTCTAAATAACATATACAGTGTATTATTTATCCAGTCCAGTTTGCATACATTGTTTCCAATCCTATAGTCCTGGTGAAGGGGGTGATCTCTAGCCCTCGAAAATGTATTACGTCTTTTATTTGATCTTGCATTGGAATACATATGTATCTGCACCATTAACTTGTCGCTTAAATCTCAGATTCATACAGCTTTCCACAGAAATAATTACAAAAAATAAATGAATAAACAAAATAAAGATTTTTTTTTTAATCTAACGACCTGTTGGTGTAGGGCCTGTTTTAGGGCCAGTTCCATGTTTCTGCAACTTTTCAAGGTCTTACCTGTGTAGCTTCAAGGATAAAATCATGAATGATGATTTGCTCCTCATTTGAGAGACACAACCTGTCCATGCTGATAAGAGTCACAGTAAAGGCCTCACAGTTCATAGATTCTTCACGACTTGGCCAGTAGACAAACTCGTCCTCAGCCTGAAAAAAAAAATACAAAAAATAAAGTAGGCCTTGTGACCAAGATAAATTGTTTAAAATATTAACTGTGGTTGTGTTCTCATGCAAAGAGCCTAACAAACCCCATGGCATGTTGTTGATTGCAACTTGGCATTTCTTAATGCCTTTTAGGACAGCTCAGAACTTCAGCTCATGTGATACCAACAATCTCTCTTCTCCCCAGCCCTGATTGTCTGGATACTGATCCAAAGGTTTAAATACCGAGTCACTGACTCAGAATAAGTATGCCAACCAGGAGCATGGAAGTTCCTTTCCCTTTACAAGCTACAGACTTGTTTTGAGTAAGAAAACTGGAACGTTGTGAAGTCAATGTCAACTAGAATAGTTGGAAAGAGGTCAGCAGTCATAGCTTTCATATTTCTTTAAAGTCAGCTATTCTTTAAGAACTACAGAGCTGTTATTTGATACAGTGCAACAACTGCCAGACTTCAAGAAACCTAACCAGCCTCTTAAGCTGAAGACTAAAGTATGAAAAGCTTTAAAAGGAGCAAAATATACACTTTTTTGTAAGTCCACGCTGTTATACTAGTTTAAGGCCACTCAGGACAAAGTAACATTTTCACTTAACTGTCGTCTTCTCCAGAAACACATTCAGACCTTCTCTCCTCCCCTACATATCTTTTTGGCCACTGGGATGGTGGAAAGGAAAGTTCTGCATAAGCTCCAATTGCTTATCCAGGACTAAGGACTCTCTCCCCAATCATACAACAGCAAGCACCAGCCTTCCCATGTAGGAGAATGGGGAAGGAGAGACTTTCTCCCTATACTCAGAAGTACTGTGCATTTCTATTGGAAGCCAAGCAGTACAGTGGAAAAGAATGAAAGAAATGTGCAGCTTGGAAGGGTGGCAGTTAAGTAAAACTGGACATGAGCAACGCACGGGTTCATTTTAAAACTGTATAGTCATTCTTGCGCATGCCCACTCTTATTATTTATTTATTTATTTCAGGTACTTATATAGCGCCGTCAATTTATGCCACGCTTTACATATATATTATGCATTCACATCAGTCCCTAACCCTCAAGGGGTGTACAGTCTAAGGTCCCTAACTCACATTCATCCATACACATACTAGGGCCAATTTAGACAGGAGCCAATTCACCTATCAGCATGTCTTTGGAGTGTGGGAGGAAACCGGAGTACCCGGAGGAAACCCACGCAGGCACAGGGAGAACATGCAAACTCCAGGCAGGTGGTGCCATGGTTGGGATTCGAACCAGCAGCCCGAGTACTGCCAGACAGAAGTGCTAACCACTTAGCCACTGTGCTGCCCATAAGGACAGCTCAGAACTTCTGGTCATTTGATACCAACAATCTCACTTCTCCCCAGCCCTGATTGTCTGGATACTGATCCAAAGGTTTAAATACCGAGTCACTGACCCAGAATAAGTATGCCAACCAGGAGCATGGAAGTTCCTGCTCCTGGTTCTCTTGACTGGTTCTCTTAAAATCCAGCTTTTCAAAGTCATCCTTGCCATGGCCTCAAGAAAAGGATTGTATTCTAAAGTTTCATAAACCTCAAACAGTACAAATTCACTTATATTTTTCTTCCTGAAAGCCACGTGAAAACATGAAAGCAAAGCGAAGTTCATCTGGTCTTTCTGTCGTCAAATCCTGCTTGGGCCCATTTATGTCCTAAAGCATCTACCACTATACATTTTGTATGTACATTTACACCTGAAATAGAATGAATGGGCAACGAATGTCTCCTCATATTCAGGTGCTTTACAGCTAAAATATTCAGTTCGCCATCATTGGTAGCTTTGCCCTTTTTCCTGGAAAAGACAACTTATTTCCTTGCTACGCCAACTTCTCCCTCCTTCAAATTAGCTTCTGATTATCACAAACACAATGAATTATTCATGAGGTGTGGAAAACAAGATCACACTCCTTGACCGATGACATTAAAAAGTACATCTGACAGATGTTCTATTTCCAGGCAATTTCGTGTTCATTAAATACATTTAAGAAATACAAGACAATGTTAACTAACACCCTGGGAATCCAAGCTGGATAATGTTATCATTTCAACAATACAATCCATCCAGAGCATAAAGAACACATGCACTTGTTAGTGATTTCCAACATATGACTGTTCTTATAATATCATTACTGAGGCTTGCATGGAAATGCAGATTATCCTAGATTTTCATGCAAAATAGGAAGTTGATATATTTAGTTGACAGAAAAAGAGAAACCATGCCCCTCTGGTAGGAAGCTATTTGCATTTCTGTATGCCTTCCTTATACTGTAGCTAGCTATACATTGGCTGCCTGCTTTAGCAGTTTTTGATCTCTAACGATTACATGAATGCAGTGCAGCATAGAAAATATAGTTTATGACTCTTGACACAGAAGACATGAAATCAAATATGCATGTGAAGGGGTTACCCTCCTGGTTTTTTGTTTTCTTCTGCAAGTACAGTTTAGCCAAAGATGAACAGCACCAAATGCCAATATATACTTACTTTCTAGTGAACAGGTTACTAAGAATGGACTTAACAGATACACTTAACCAGAATATTTTAAAACATTCACTTTTTTTTTTTTTTTACTATATCTAGGTGCACCAGGCAACTTTGCAAATATAGCATCTGACATCTGTTATTTATTTTCCTGTTCTAAAAGAACTGTGCCCATAGGCAGAGGCCAGTGTAAACAATGCAACATTTAGCCCACGGGTGTCAAACTGGTGGTCCTCCAGCTGCTGCCAAACTACAAGTCCCATGAGGCATTGCAAGATTGACAGTTACAAGCATGACTCCCAAAGGCAGGGGCATGATGGGACTTGTAGTTTCACAACAGTTGGGGTTTGACACCCCTGAGTTAGCCAGTATGTGGCTGTACTGTGCCGTCAGACAAAAACGTAGAACAGAAAGGAGCCCACTCCATGTAATTCACGTCTTCAAAGCCAGGACCCAAAAATTGTTTAAAAATGTTTTTAATACGGCACTGTATTCATGTAATCACAAGAGACTGTTAGAATCAGGCAGCCATTGCTTAAAGTGATGCTGAAGGCTTTTTTTCAAAGCAAAAATAACAAACATGTCTATACTTACCTACTGTGTGTAGTGGTTTTGCACAAAGCAGCCCAGATCCTCCTCTTCTGGGGTCCCTCTCTGGCACTCCTGGCCTCTCTCTTATCAGGTGCCCCCACAGCAAGCAGATTGCTATGGGGTCACCTGCTGCTCTGTGTGTCCATTCACACACAGAGCCTTGACTCAGCCCTGCCCCTTCTCTCTTCTCATTGTCTCGCTGGCTGTGATTGACAATGGCTCCTGCTTCTGTTTCAGCCGATGAGAAGAGGGATAGCCAAGACTCCAGTGCACATCGCTGGATTGAGAGGGGTTTTAGGTATTAGTGGGGGACGCTGCACAGAGGTGCTCTTTTACCTTCATGCATAGAATGCATGAAGGTAAAAGACCTTGAGCCTTTACAACCTCTTTAAGTTTGGTTATAGAACGTCTCCAGGACAGAAAACTAAGAAGGCATAAGGAATCCCTCTAAATGAGTGGTCCACTTTACAGTGCATTAAACTCAGCATATACCAGATGTGTAAATGGGCCCTAATATGTAAACAAGCCTAAAAACGTAAATCCCGACTATAAACAAATCTAAGTTTATCCAACTTATATAAGAGTCGCGGACAAACCTTTTAAGAAATCAGGGTCACAATGGTCTCGAATAATAAACTGCAAAGCACCCCCAAGAGCTCTTATCCCGGGTGCAGAGGATGACACTACACCATTGTCACACGCTGAGAGTATTTAATCAGCACTGGCACTCTTTTAGCTCTACTGTGGGATTATCAGACTGGAGTAGAGCAGAAACTGCTGTGTTCAGTTAATGTAGAGCAACCGTCCAAGTGATTTCACATTAATGTCGGTAATGTTGTCTCCCCATATTCCTATTAAAAGGTCATCTGCTTGTTCTTTAAGCAAGACTCCATTGAACACCTATTACATGCACTTAATTGCAGTTCATGACTAGGAGATGCTAGTAATGTGCACTGTGGGGCACTAAGAAGATTTTATGCAGAGTTTAATTTCGGTTAAATAGACCTGCACACGGAAAGTGTCTCTGTGATGGGCTGCATTTTATGTCTCTCAAGCTTACACCTGATATTCACTCAAGCGTTTGTTTAAGAAATTTAGAAGAAACTGAATGGAGAGGCCAGGGACCAGCAGATGATGATGGGAAGATCTGTGCAACCATTCTAAAAATGATTTAAAAAGAAGAAAAGAAAGGGTTGTAGAGTGTTGAAGTCTGGAGGCACACAGTGAAAGTCAGTCCAATAGACCAGTGTTTCTTAACCTTTTTTCAGTCAAGGCACCCTTTATAATTAACAGTCCTGAGGCACTCTTTCAAATGATGGACAGTCCCGAGGCACCCTTTCGAGGCACCCTTTCAAATGATGGACAGTCCCGAGGCACCCTTTCAAATGATGGACAGTCCCGAGGCACCCTTTCAAATGATGGACAGTCCCGAGGCACCCTTTCAAATGATGGACAGTCCCGAGGCACCCTTTCAAATGGACAGGCACCCTTTCAAATGATGGACAGTCCCGAGGCACCCTTTCAAATGATGGACAGTCCGAGGCACCCTTTCAAATGACAGTGACAGTCCCGAGGCACCCTTTCAAATGATGGACAGTCCCGAGGATGGACACCCGAGGCACCCTTTCAAATGATGGACAGTCCCGAGGCACCCTTTCAAATGATGGACAGTCCCGAGGCACCCTTTCAAATGATGGACAGTCCCGAGGCACCCTTTCAAATTATGGACAGTCTCAAGGCACCCTTTATAATTATGGACAGTCTTGAGGCACCCCACTCTAAAATGGGGTGCTTCTAGACTGTCCATAATTTTAAAAGGGTACTCCATTCTAAAATGGGAAAAACTATTCTAATAGTTTTATATAACACAGCAACATCCACACATGTAGCACACCCAACGTTAGAGGTGATTTATTCTTCCAAAGCAAATACACTTTCATTCACTGGTACTGACTAGTATTCCTATGTTTCTCTTCTCCCTCAGTTTTTCTCCAGCACTCAGCTAATGTGACCCCAACATCTTACATCCTCATCAACTGATGATGTCATTGGTTGGCTAGAAGGTCGTAATCACGCACAATGAAAACCTGTGGTTTTTGTGTAACTAAAAGGCAGATTTGTTCCACCCGCTTGCTTGTATAAAAGTTTTTGGCAATTTTTAGATATTTTGTAAAGGCACCCCTGAAGAAACCTCAAGGCACCCTGATTGAGAAGGGCTGCAAAAGACTGTAGTATTGACTCTAGTTTTATGCAGCACAGCTAAATACTGCACTGAAAATCAACAGATGATTGCAAAATACACTACAGACATTTATAGACACCAGACCATCACACCTAACTCCATGGCTACAGGTATATGAAATGATTCAGTTCAGTTTTTTCCTGTGCAGAGTAGTAAGCACACAAAGATATTTAGGCAATTGTACAAATTCAACTTTATGGCAACAATTTAGGGAAAGCCATTTGTTGTCTCAGCACCACTACGTCCCTGTGTACAAAGCAAATTCTGTAAAAACATGGTTCAATGAGTCTGGTGTGGAGGAACTTGAGTGACATGCACAGACCATGACTTCAATCCTAATAAACACCTTTAGGGTGAATAACAATGTTAATTCCCAAACAGGTTTTCCAGGACCTCACAAATGCTCTTTTGTCCGGCTCTTTTGGCACAAATTCCCACAGATACACTCTTTGTGAAAAAACCTTCCCAGAAGAGTGATGTTGCAAATGATGGGCCAACCCTATGTTAATGCTCATGGTGTTAGAATGGGATTACATGGGTGGGATGATCAGGTATCCAACAGCACTGGGCCATACAGTGTATGTTTAGGTGGATTGTAGTTTCTTGACACTACAATCCAACTTAAACAGCATTTGGTTACATATGAAGGTTTTTAACATAAACCATGATGCAAGTTGTTTTTTTCTTTTCAAGTGGACCAGTAGTCTCTTGCCACTTGGCACACCTAGTACTGTAAAGAGAAATAGAGACAGTGGCAGAATGATTATCTTTACCATACAGTTATCAAACTTTCTCCTTGACTGGTGCCTGTCAGATGACTTTTAGCATTTGGTCACTTGACCCATATCAGACAATGTGGGTGCCTTTTTTGACTGAGATAACGAATCAGTAGTTCTTTTAGAATGCTAAACAGATGGCATTGCGAAATGCCAGCATCTGGTCGTGTGACAGATACTGAATAAAGAGAATTTGTGCAACTGTCTGTCACTTTTCTATACAGTACTTAAAGCAGAGCTCCACCCAAAAAGAGAAGTTCCGCTTTAATGCTTTGTCCCCGCTCACCATTAAGCATTGGCACCTTTGGGGAGCGGGTACGCGAATTTGACAGGTACCTGCTCCCACTTACGCTGCAATCGTCTAATACGGAAGTTATCCTCCCCCCACTCCCTCCCCGTAGTCTTCTGGGACACGTGACAGGTCCCAGAAGATTACGGGACCATTCACAAAGAGCAGCGCTATTCGCACATGCGCAGTGGGCACCCGGCTGTGAAGCCGCAAGCTGTCACAGCCAGGTGCCCACACTGAAGATGCCGGCGCCAGGGAGAGAAGACGGACGGTGAAACCGGCAGTGGTGAGGACACCGCTGGACTGAGGGACAGGTAAGTGACTGTAGTTTAAAAGTCAGCAGCTACAGTTTTTGTAGCAGCTGACTTTTTTTTTTTTTTTCAGGTGGAACTCTGCTTTAACCTGAAGTGACCAGTCAAAAGTGGACACAGACAAAAGCCTGCACATACCTGTAGTTATCTTACTCCACACCCACAGGGGCACTCAATATACCAATAATGACTTCCAACTCAAAGTCAGTGTCACCCCTGTAATGTAAGCTTTTCTATTGGTTGGTGGACCTCACAGTAGTGCCTTCATGGATTTGGGGTAACTGCTACAATGTTGGGAGGAAACAATCACGAGGACAGGATAGAAATCTATTCTGATCACTGATCCTGCCCATGATAAGCCAACACCAGCCTCTTGACTATGGTTCCCCATTGACATAAAATTAGAAGAAAGGCACAGCTGACCTTGACAGTTTGAGGGATCTGTCAAATGGATTGCGCACGAACCACCACCCTCTAACGTCTCTGGCTAGTTTTGATGCTGTTTGTAATCATAAAGCAACTAAAATGCTTGCAAATCACAATCAATTTGAAGCTTGTTAAACGAAATGAAAAAGGGGGAAAAAGCCGACACCAAATGTGCCTACTGCATATCTTCTAATTACTTTATTGTTGATAAATGCCTGAATATACAAGCTGCGCATTGTGGATAAGGCCAATGTAATTTTGCTGCAGCGAGGTTGCCCAGCCCTAGGCCTGCGAAGAGTTCAGTTTCCCATACCCATCTCACTAATAATAATAATGATGCTGGTAAAAATCACATTACAAAGACTGAGGACACTTGATGTGTGAAAGGCATCAAATAATGGGTTATTTGTATATTCTCCTTGCTTCTGACAGCCAAATTTCCAGCTTGTCGCAGTGATGACAGCCTCTGCCACATAAATTACTGGCAGCCTATTTACTGCACAGCTCACTTAATGATGCTGTAATTTACTGTAGTAAATTGTGTCTACCTGTCGTAGTGGAGGATTTGCATCTCAAGCGGACAAAGGAACCTCATCTGGTACAATTAAAGATAAATAAGGGCCTGCAGGCCTCTCTTATGAGCTACCTGTCAGCAAGCCTCTGCCAATCAGGAACAGCACATATGGACACAGAAGTTAATAATTATAAGAGTATTCAGCACTTTTCTGCTTAA